CCATGTGGCCCCCCGGGACAGGTGGTCCCACCCGGTGGACCCCCGGGACCCTTCCGGTGGTCCCGGTACAATACCGATAACCCCGAAACTTGTCCCGATGCCCGAAATAGCACTTCCTATATATAATTCTTTACCTCCGGACCATTCCGGAACTCCTCGTGACGTCCGGGATCTCATCCGGGACTCCGAACAACATTTGGGTTTCTGCATATACATATCTTCATAACCCTAGCGTCACCGAACCTTAAGTGTGTAGACCCTACGGGTTCGGGAGACAAGCAGACATGACCGAGACGACTCTCTGGTCAATAACCAACAGCGGGATCTGGATACCCATGTTGGCTCCCACATGCTCCACGATGATCTCATCGGATGAACCACGATGTCGAGGATTTAATCAATCCCGTACGCTATTCCCTTTGTCTATCGATATGTTACTTGCCCGAGATTCGATCGTCGGTATCCCAATACCTCGTTCAATCTCGTTACCGGCAAGTCACTTTACTCGTACCGTAATGCATGATCCCGTGACCAGACACTTGGTCACTTTGAGCTCATTATGATGATGCATTACCGAGTGGGCCCAGTGATACCTCTCCGTCATACGGAGTGACAAATCCCAGTCTTGATCCATGTCACCCAACAGACACTTTCGGAGATACCCGTAGTCTACCTTTATAGTCACCCAGTTACGTTGTGACGTTTGGCATACCCAAAGCACTCCTACGGTATCCGGGAGTTACACGATCTCATGGTCTAAGGAAAAGATACTTTGACATTGGAAAACTCTAGCAAACGAACTATACGATCTTGTGCTATGTTTAGGATTGGGTCTTGTCCATCACATCATTCTCCCAATGATGTGATCTCGTTATCAATGACATCCAGTGTCCATAGTCAGGAAACCATGACTATCTGTTGATCAACGAGCTAGTCAACTAGAGGCTCACTAGGGACTTGTTGGTGTCTGTTATTCACACATGTATTATGATTTCCGGATAACACAATTATAGCATGAATAAAGACAATTATCATGAACAAGGAAATATAATAATAATGCTTTTATTATTGCCTCTAGGGCATATTTCCAACACGTACATCCTACGAGCAATGCCGCAACTTAGCCCTTTAAAAAGTCTGCGAACAACATTTCTATTTCAACGGTATGTAGCTTTCCTACAAATTACAAAGTGCAACCTGATGTCCTTTAAAAACTTATAAGAATTTTTCTGAACATATTTCACTAGTGTCTTTTTTCTATTTAAAAGGGAGTTTTATCAGTTGACCACAGCTTTGCTCAATGCAATTGAAGTGAAAATAACTGGCGGCTGCTACATATTTCTGTCAAAAATGCATGACACATCTTCTAAGTACAGTCTTACCACACTGCAGCAATGAATGTTTCCGCACATCTACTAAAATTATTATGTCAAACACTAACCTCCTTGCCCACCATGGTGCTTGCGGATTGAGTTTTCCCGCAGACAGCTCCAATTCCGGCGGGGAGTTCTCCTTCCCGGAGCCCACACCAGCAGCCAGCTCACAGACCTGCCCTTCGGCACTAATGGCTGCTGTCGACACCTGATGGACATCAATGGCATCCGCGGCCACCGGTGTCCTAGACGGACCCCTCAAGCATTACGTGTCGTTCACCTCCTCAATCTACGGAAATTCGGTGAGAACTTGATTTCAATCACCACTGATGTAGTGCAGTTTCAGATCTGAAAAAAGTACGAACAGAGAGACAAGAACATGTACTCACCAGCCGTACACATCAATGTGCTTGTGCGAGGGCTGGTGGATCGTCTCACCAAAATTCAGTGAAAGGGAATGGTTGTGACTCCCCCTGTGCTCTGCAATGTACCACCCATCGTCCTCTGTCTGTAGCAGTCTTATTAGAGCCGGGCATTCGCAACGACAAGACCTCGTGTTCTCAACACTAGCTTTATCCTACATATGTATTTTATTTTATCAGAGCAATAACAATCATGAATCAATTAAAAATCAACCCCAATTAAATGAATGCCAAATAAGTAACCATAGTGCTCCACATGTCATACGTACCGAGCATCCGCATACTATTTCCTGCATGCATTTCGTTCTCTAAACATTCAATCTGCTCTTTCCATGTCAAATCCAAAAACCCCTTTCCCAAGAATACAAGTCCTATAAATTGTACGCCTCGCCAAGTGAGTCGACACTTGTCCCAAGCGCTGGAGTGATAACATTATTGCTCGGGTTCTCTGCAAACATCCTAACTGCCTTCTTGAAAGCGCTCACCCGATATGGGCAAGGTGCCATGCTGGGGGCAGCAGCACCAACCGCAACCTGACTACTTGCCTCAATTAACTCGAACCAGTAAACAACATGCTGCACTCCCAATAAATAAATTACTAGACCATCAAAAACTGTTATTTCCAGTAAACAACATCCAGGCATGACTCTTTTAGTTGCATCAATCAACTGAATTAACTGAATCCAGTAAACAACATGCTGCACTCTCAACTAATGAATTAATATACAATGCAAAATTCTTATTCCAGTAAACAACATCCATCAGTCTAACTGGACCATTCACCCAGGATTTCAAAAGCAACTTACAGTAGTCTGGATTCTAAATGGGCAAAATTAACTCTAAGCAACTAAAGAAAAAATGAAACGTATTTTCCTCACCTCTAATTCCAGATAGAAGCATGTGGATTCATCTTTCCAGTTCAGAGCTCCGAGGCCTGACACGAGCTGTCCCTCATTCACCACCGCTGATGTGTCCATTGCGCAGATCCGTGCTTCCGCGCTCACTGTCGTAGGCCAGTGTATTGTCTGTCCATACATTTGGGAAAGTGCATGGTTGTGCCCATCTCGATGCTCTGCTATGTACCATCCATTGTTCTTTGTCCGCAGTAGTCTGATGAGGGCTGGGCATTCACACCGGCAGGAACGAGTATTTTCGACAATTGGCTTCCCCTGATGGAACAAACAAAACGTCAAATTCAGTCACAGGCATTTTCAAATCTGTTCTCTATGAAAAACTAGTAATCAATTTCTGCTGTAACATTAGCCGTACCACACATCCACGGACTATCTCTTGCATACACTTAGTCATGCTAACGTTTAGCCTGCTCTTTCCATATCGTATTCAAATCCTTTCTCCCAGGAGTACAAATTGTAAAAGTCATAAGCTTCTCCGAGCGTGTCAAAACTTGTTCCAATCTTTGGCACCATAACTATGTCACCTGGATGCTCGGCAAATTCCCTGACAGACTTCTCCAGCGCCGTGACCCTGTCCGGGCAAGGAGGCCTTCCTAGAGCAGCAGCACCTACACGCACTCTGCCCAGTCACAGCAGAGAAACAATCAGGTGGTGTTTTCTGCTACAACCATTTGTTATGAAATTCCAGCCCACAAAATTCTGAGCTACACTAACATCTTACAAAATTGCAGTTCATTCTATATTATCCTAAACAAGTTTATAAAACCTTCCCACACACGTATATATACTGCTGGTGTTCATGCTATTTAATCACGGTTATGTATACTGTTCCACCCTCATTTCATCAATTACTGCTTGCATATCTGACAGGACACACACATTTGCAATGCCAAATTTTGATGCAATTCAGATGGTAAGTTGTAGTACCTTTGCGTCCACCCTGGTGTTTATGGGTCAATTTGCTCTATTGAGTGCTCGGAGCACTGAGCCATGTCCGCGCCTGCTGCCTCCGCCCGGAAGATCTGCACGTCAACACTTGAAGCGGCCGGTGCTGGATCCTCAACCTCAGCCACCGCGGATACTGGGAAGTGGGAACCGCACGGGCTCCATTGCCCCGTTGTTATCATTCACCTCTTCCAGGAGCGTTCTACTTAATCAACCCAAAATTTTAAGCGACGGAATCTAGATCAGTACCCAAAATCCGAGTCAAAACCATTGAAAATAATGGGCCAAGTAGCAGATCCCAACCTGTTTACCGGCTGCAGTAAGAACTCCATGGTCGCCGGAGCCTGTCCGAGGTTGCTGCACCGCCCAGTCGCCGTCGCCGGAGTCATTATCTCCACCTCTTCATCGACCGGGACGAGAGGCAAATCCAACTTCACTCCCGTAACCAGCGCCCAACTACTGCATTAAGTGCGGGCACTGCCGGCGCTAGCGGAAAGCACCGTACCTGATCCACGGATCAGGACGCCGGCGACAAGCTCGAGCCACGGCTCAGGCACGCATAGGCGACGCCGTGCACCCCTCCGTCCACCTTGCCCCATCTGTCAGACGCGTATTGTGTCGTATATCCTAATTTTCCATCGTCGGCATGGGCCCCCGCCAACTGTCTATAGCATTTAATGCGACGAATCTCGTAGCAATTCTGGACGGGCGTGATTCCGAGCTCCTGTGAGCTCGCGATCACATACTCCGCGTCCACTATAGTGTTATTTCTTTTACATAATTTCTCGCAAAAAAAAACTTTTACATGACACTAAAGCCTTTGTTTTCTAAAAAGAGTGACAGGGGAAAGCTTCGTAACCTTTCTCCTTTTTTTTGAAAAAACTCAGACTTTATTCATTTGTAATAAGTAGTACATTGTTTGTGAGGATCATTACAATTTTATTTAAAGGCTCCTCAAACCAATTAAAAGTCAAAGAAAATCTAGCTAATCTAGCAAGCTCATGAGCTACTTTATTTGCTTCCCTATTGCAATATTCAAATCTAGCAATAACGAAATCACAAGCATAATGAAAACAGGGGAAAGCTTCGCAACCTTTCTATTGACCGTATAGGCCGCGGCAGGAAAGAATTAGACTCGACCTCACATACTGCGCTGTCATGCGGTCGTCGTCGCCTTCGAAGTGCCACACACTAGACCAGAGGTTCCCGTATCCGCACCACACACTAGTCCACAATAAAACAGTGTGCCAAGCCACATCTTCGCGTCCAGGGCAGCCTGCGCAAGTTGACCGTGGACCCGTGGTGCTCGCCCAAGAACGGAACCGCCCGCTGAAGAGGCTCCAGCGATGGCGCTGACCCGGCTGTTCATCTCCCTCTTCCCGGTCGCCGTCCTGGCCGGACTCGCCTCCGCCTCCGCGTCGCCCTTCCTCCCTGGTCAGTGCGTGTTCGGGTGCTCCCAAGTCCCAACAACTGCGCACTAGTATTTTGCTTCTTGGAGCGAACTGTGATGGTTTGTTCTGTTTTCTTTGTGCTTGAGCAGACAGCGCATTTCAGGGCAGCACCGGATCTACGGGGAGGAGCTTGCTGCAGGCCAAGAATGGTACGTGGTTTACTTTCTTCCTCTTGCTAAGTTTTGGTCTGGTTTTAGTGATACAGAACTACAGAAGATCTTGGAAGAGATACTCTGTCTGTGTTAACTTATTTGGTGCGGATTTGATGGTGCAGATACTGAACCCACATGCTTGTTAACTGAATATAGCTCCCTTAATTGTGCTCGTATGCGCTTAGAGTTGAGAGGCTACTGTAGAGTTTCTGGAGTTGTAAAAACAGAGTTTGACCGGAAACTACCAACTATCCTAATAAAAGTTGGGACTCTAGAATTCAAATTCCCGTACATTACTTGAAACCAAGATTTCCGTCCTTACATAGAAAAAACAAGACATAGTACTCCTCAGTTCTCACCATGTTCAGGACTTCCCAGTACCTTCATCTGATGCGCTTCCAAATTTTTTTGTCCATGCTTATCAGACTGCCCTATAGGCTTCGAGACCCAGAACTACACCATCCTCACAAACAAGTGCAAAGCGCCACATTACCCTCCTACTGAATGTTGTGATGCTTTCAAGGAATTTGCATGCCCATTTGCCGCGTATATCAACAACCTGAGCACTAACTGTGCAGACACGATGTTCACCTACATCGACTTCCGTGGCTACCCAAAAGGCATGTTCGCCGACGAGTGCCTAAAAGGAAAGGAAGGGGTTTCTTGTGAAGGCATCCCAGCGGTAGACACCGGCGTGCCCAGTGGCGGGCGACAAGTTCAAGGGATTTCACGTCCTTTGGTTGTGCTCTTGTGTGGACTAGGAGCATTGTTGTTCCCTTGAGTGGCGATACCTTGGACTTCTCCAAAGATAGCGTGTTGTCAGTTATAAGTTGTAAGGCTTAGGATTCATTTGCTTCTCCTTCGCACTCTCTTCCATTGCTATAATGTGTCCATTTGTTACAGAACTACATGACATTTTAAGATTCAACATTATATGGATGATCACATCCTGCTATTGGGAGAGTGCACACCCAAATTGTAAATCACGGAATCAAATATCAATTAATTATTTTCCAGTCTAGCTGATAAATTGTGTGTTCATTTGTTACTGCATTGCCATGTTCATGTATTTATATGTATATGTATGGTGCCTTTTGGATATGTTTTTCCAGGCAGTACTGCAACCGAGGTGGCGTTTTAGAGCATCTTCAGCCGTGCCCTTCAGTCCTTCACACATAAGCACATCATGTTCAGAACATTGGCCGAAGAATCTCTGCACCTTGCTCATAGCAGCCACCGCCTGCCCTCCGATGCCGTAGACGTGCCCATCATGCTAATCAGTCAATCACCCAATCGCATGCAGGGAACTAGCTTAATTTCCTGTGGAACTTTTCGGCCGTCTCCTCAAAAATCTTGCCTACGGTAAGCTTACGCGCATGTACTACTTTATGTTCACATCACTTGAGAAAACCCAGTCGAGGAAAGCAAATTTAGAAACTTTAACAAATTGCCCGTCTAGCTCAGTCGGTAGAGCGCAAGGCTCTTAACCTTGTGGTCTTGGGTTCGAGCCCCAAGGTGGGCGTCTAATTTTTATTTTTTTGCACTTGTTGGCCTTAATAAAAGCTCATTTTTGCGTTCATTTTAACTTCGTCATTTTTGGTGTTGCATTTATTTCCTGATTTACCGTGCATTTCTTCCATAAATAATCAACCCATAAATTTTGAATATCTAGGCATGTTACATTCACGTAGGTTATTCGCCAACTGAAAATCAAATTGTTATTTTGCTATTCTAAAAAAACAAAAAAATGTTATTTTGCTACCTATTTTAGTTACCTGTTGTATTCTCATGTATAAGCCTTATTTTTTTTATTAATTTGGATTTCTATTTCTTTGCAAAGAACATTTTGACATTAATGTTGATTTTTATTTCTTCTTTTTTGTGTTGCATTTATTTCTTGATTTATTTAGGCATTTTTAGATGAATTATTTTAGGTCCGTCCATTTCTTACATGTCTAAATAACCCATAAGTGTTGATCAACATCTTGGCGTGTTACACTCACATATGTCATTTGTCGGTTGAAAATCAAAATGTTATTTTGCTTCCTATTTATTTATGGGTTATAATTCTCATGTATAAGTATTCTATTTTTATTAATTTGACTTTGATTTTGGCTTCCTACTTTACTTTTTGGTGTTTGCAAAGCCCATTTTGACATTAATGTTCCGCATAGGTTGGTCGAGCGAAACATTTACATGATGTAGGCCTTGTGTTGAAACATAGGTTTCCTTTGCCTGTGCTTGGCATCACCAAGCGCAGCTTTGTAGCGGTCGGCACCGCCTTTGCCTCACTGTGCACATGTGTTGCTACCGCTGTTGCTTCCGCTTGCTGTGTGGGCATCGTGCCCGGCCCTCGCAAGGCTCCCAGCAGGCCAGCATCGTGGCCTATGCTCCGTGCTCCTTGTGGCCAGCATCGATATGGAAGCCAATGTTGTGCTTCAACTATGGGCCGTCGTACTCGTGTATACATACTACAATCTTGTCTTCACAAGGCAACACCCTGAGCCACCTAGCCGAAGAGAAAGGGGGTGGGAAAAGCATGCATGAGGCGATGAGCCGGGCGAGAGTCATGGCATGTGCCCCTTTTTTGATAAAGGAGGTATATTAATACCAAGATGATATCAATTACATCCGGCCTCTGCAACAACATAATGTCTAAAGAGACATCAAGAATGCACACAGCCGAAAGATTATAAGAAGAAAAAAGGAAACAAAGTCCCCGCCGTAGCAATTAGAGGCTCACAGCGCCAAGAGCAGTGATGACGCCACCTAAACTTCGAAAAGGAATGAAGTTGTTGGCAATATCCAAGGCTAGTGGCACCCCCTGTTCACCTTGGATCCGATTGGGCTAGTTCGGTGCAGCGATATCCAAGATGTTGATGGGGGGATCATGTCATTCGTATTTTGATGATTCCAGGGTGCTCTCGCAGTGGATCAGGTGAAGCATACATGTTGAACGATTGCCATTTTGTAGCAGTGGTGAATGGGGTTGACAACAATGGCATGTGCCCTGTGGAAGGTGCAAATGTGGTTTCCTATCTTTTTCCATCTAAACAAGGTATTGTATAGACTTATCGTAACAACAAAACTCACAAAAGTTGGTTTTACTAAAAAAATGTATCTCAAAAAACCAGTTTTCCAAGATCTCATGCCTAATACTTCAAATTTAAACAACCACGAGCTAGGCTCATGTTGTACGACAATTGCACCTTTGTATCACTTTTCTATCTTTGTATGACTTCAACCAGTCGTACAAAGGTTCGAAGTCTCCAGCTGGACAAAACTAAACAATCTTAATGGAGCAATAGCACGCTGAGGTAAACTTGTTCAGAAATTGAAGCCGCAAAACCTATAAAAAAATCCAAAAGAAGGATTATCCCCGGCCTCTGCATCGTGTGATGCATACAACCAATCTTTATTACATTATTCAACAAGATCTTATAAAATAAATACATAGATCAATCTAAAGCCACATTCCTGGCAGAAACTATCGCCCTACTTATAAGATTGATGATGTGCCATAAAAATTTAGGCCACCAAAATGCAGAGTATGGGCGGGCAAAATTGCTCCGTGAGATCATGTTGTGTGGTCGTGTGGAAAGAATTAGACTCGACATAACGTATTGCGCTGTCAAGTCATGGAGGTCGTCGTCGCCTTTGAAGTGCTAGCGGAGACCGTAGGTCTCCATTTCCGCACCACCACTCCACTATCGAACAGAGTGCCAACCCATCTTCGTGGTGCTCGCCCAGAAACCACCCGCTGAAACAGCTCCAGCAGCTTGCAAGCGATGGCGCTGACCCGTGGGTTCATCTTCCTCTTCCCCGCCGCCGTCCTGGCCGGACTCGCCTCCGCCTCCGCGTCGCCCTTCCTGTCTGGTCCGTGCGTGATCCGATGCTCCCAACTACTGCGCACTAGTATTTGCTTCTGGGAGCGAGCTGTGATGGGTTTGTTTTGTTTCCTTGGTGCTTGAGCAGATAACGTATTCCAGGCCAGCACCGGATCTACAGGGAGGAGTTTGCTGCAGACCAATAATGGTACGTAGTTTCCTTTCTTCCTCTTGCCAAGTTGAATCCCATGACAGTTTCTAGACTCTGAAGATACTGAATCCACATGCTTGTTAACTGAATATAACTCTCTTGATTGTGGTCATATGCGCTTAGGATTGAAGAGGCTGACGTGGAGTTTCTCTAGACTTATAAAAACAGAGTTTGACTGTAGACTACCAATGGAAATTATCAACTATCCTATTAAAAGTTGGAACTCTAGAATTCAAATTCCCATATACATTACCTGAAAGTTGAAACCAAGATTTCGGTCCTTGCATAGAAAAAAGGAGACATAGTACTACATCTCACCATGTTCAGGACTTACAGTACCTTCATCTGATATGCGTCCGTTAATTCTTGTCCATGCTGATCAGGCTGCCCTATGAGCTTTGAGTCCCAGGACTACACAATCATCACAAGCAGGTGCAAAGCGCCACAGTATCCTCCTAAAGAATGCTGTGATGCTTTCAAGGAATTTGCATGCCCATTTGCCGTCTACATCAACAATCAAAGCACCAACTGTGCAGACGCTATGTTTTCCTACATCAACTTCCATGGCTCGTACCCAGCAGGCCTATTCGGCGCTGAGTGCGTCAAAGGGAAGGAAGGGGTTTCCTGCGAAGGCGTCCCAGGGAAAGGCACCGGCGTGGCAAGTGGCGGGCGGCGAGCTCAAGGGAGTTCCCGTTCTTTGGTTCCTATCTTGTGTGGACTAGAAGCACTGTTGTTCCATTGAGTGGTGATACCTTGCACTTCTCCAAAGATGGCATGTTGTCAGCTGCAAGCTGTAAGTAGTAAGACTTAGAATCAGTTTGGTTCTCCTTGGCGCTCTCTTAATGTGGTGACTGGACATTTGGCTTTACTATGAGATATCTCTTCAGAAACCACTTGATATACTTGACTAATAACCCCTCTTATAAATGTACTTGGTTACTACTATGCCAAATATTATATTGATATCATGTGGCCATTTGTACATGACATCCTGAGATTCAACATTATATGATCACATCCTGCTATTGGCAGAGTGAAGACCCAAATTATAAATCAGGGGACTAGGAGTAATTATTTTCCGGCCTAACTGATAATCGGGCGTTCATTTGCTAATGCACTGCCATGTTCATTATATATATGTAGTGCCATTTGGATATATTTTTCCAGGTAGTAATGCAATCGAGATGGCGTCTTAGAACATCTTCAGTCGTGCCCTTCACACAAAAGCACATCATTTTCAGAACATTGGCCCGAAGAATCTCTGCATCTTGCTCAAAGCAGCCACCGCCTGCTGTCCGGCGCCGTAGACGTGTCCAACATAGCAAATAGGAACAATCAGTCAGTCACCCAATGACATGCAGGGAACTAGCTTAATTTCCTGTGGAACTTTTCGGTTGTCTGCTCAAAAACCTTGCCTACGGTAAACTTACGCGCATCACCTTATGTTCGCATCACTTGACAAGATCTAGTCAAGTAAAGTAAATTTGGAAAATTTATCAGAAAGCCCGTCTAGCTCAGTTGGTAGAGCGCAAGGCTCTTAACCTTGTGGTCTTGGGTTCGAGCCCCAAGGTGGGCGATGTTTGATTTTTTTTTTGAACTTATTAGCGTTAGCAAAGGCCCATTTTCACATTCATGTTCATTTTAACTTCTTCTTTTCTGTGTATTTCGCAAAGGCCCATTTTCACATTCATGTTCATTTTAACTTCTTCTTTTCTGTGTATTTCCCGATTTACCATTTTAACTTGTTCATTTTTACGTTTCATTTATTTCCTGATTTACCATGCATTTCTTTCATATCTAAACATAAACAACCCATAAATTCTGAACATCTAGGGATGTTACATTCACATAGGTCATTCGCCAACTAAAAAATCAAATTGTTATTTTGCTACATATTTTAGTTATCTGTTGTAATTCTCATGCATAAATCTTATATTCTTATTAATTTGGATTTCTATTTTTTTGCAAAGTCCGTTTTGACATTAATGTTGATTTTTATTTCTTCTATTTGCTTTGCTTTTGTTTGTTGATTTAAGGCATTTTTTAGATGAATTATTTTAGGTCTGTTCATTTCTTACATGTCTAAATAACCCATAAGTGTTGAACATCTAGGCATATTACATTCACATATGTAATTGTCGGTTGAAAATCAAATTATTAATTTGCTACCTATTTTAGTTATGGTTTGCAATTCTCATGTATAAAAATTCTACTTCTATTAATTTGGCTTTGGCGTCTTATTTATTTTTTGGTGTTTGCAAAGCCCATTTTGACATTAATGTTTTATAATATTTTCTGCTATTGTATATATTGTCCACGCATCTTGGGTTTATGTATGCACTTTCCTAGGGGAGGAGCGTTTTGGCTCCCGGCAACATTTGCTCCTGGATGAATAGTACTGCAGAAAAGTGGTAAAATGTTTTTTAAAAATTCTGATTTTTTCGTGAATGTTCGTGAGTGTTTCATCTGTGAAAAAAAGACTAATTTGGGGCGACATTTTGTGGTAACATTTGGTGCTCGAATTTGTTTTTTTTCACAGCCCAAAATGTTTAACCTTTTTGCCTACAACTCTGCAGGTAGCATCTGGATGTGACTATAAATACATAAAAAAATTGTTGGGATTATTTTGACATTTCAAAAATTATTTTTCACGCGCAGGAGCACATGCTCCCGGGAGCCAAATTGGATTTCCGCTTTACTTAGACTAATTAGTTATTTAAAAAAATCATTTCTAATATCTATTTTTAGACTTTTTATAAACCCATGTGTTTGGCGCGGCTAGATTTTTTACGATATTCATTTGTTCATATGCCACTTTGTCTTATGATATAGTGATTTTTATGTGTCTGACGTTGTCAGGCATTAAAGGCTTGTATTGTCCAAATATACAGCTAGTCAAAATTTCCCATGTAAAAGCATTGTGATGTATTTTAAATATACAGCTAGTCGAGCGCAACTGTTGCCGGGTCTCGTGTGTTTTCTGCTTGCTGAGACGTACGCACCGGGTTTTCGGTTCTGTCGTGAAATCTATCTGTGTGCAGGACGCAACTGTTCGACAGGAGTTTTTTTTTTGCTTGCTGAAAAGAGTCTGAAACCCACGACGTTTCCGCGCTTCTGAAGTCAAATCTACTACTATGTGTGCAGGGGCACTCTGAAGAGCGCGTTGAACTCGGGGTCGCTGCCGCCGAATGTGTGGCCGGACAGGGCCGGCACCATGGGGAGCGCGTAGGGGAAGTCCGGCGGCAAGCGGTCGGCGTACCACACCCGACCGGTCCGGGTGTTCCTCGACATCCACTTCATCAACAAGCTGGAGAGGTTCGTCTTCGTCTTCGTCTCGTTTCATCATCAGGTATTCAGGTTCTTGATCGGTTTCAGATTCATGAGATACCCACACGAACAAATCTGCGAGATTTATTGCTTCGAATCCATGTACACACTTTGTTGCTGGATCTATTACGAGGTTTGCACTGATCTGAACTGCAACCAGCGATGTGTTCCCACTTCCCAAGGCCCTGAGGTCTGCTGGCACCTGCCGCCATTGGGAGTGGCGGCAGGGCATAGGCCGTCAGCTGCGCTTTAAAGGGACATGATCTCTTCTTCCCCTCTTGTCCGCTGCGCCTCTCTCTTCTCCCTCCTCCCTCCCTTCCTCTCCCTCTCCCTCTCCGGGAGAAGAACAGTACTTTGCAGTTTTTGAGCTCGATTTTTGGTATTCAGAGGCCGATTCAGGAGTTGCCGTAGTTGAAGAAAAGATAGATCAAGACGAGAGCTACAATATGCCTGGTATTTTTTCTGCATCCATGCTATCTGTCGTGATTTCAATTAAATGTTCTACTACAGTACTACTACTGTTTTAGGAAGTAGATTGCTGCTTTGGAGACATTTTGCAGAATTTGGAGTTGGATTTTTTGTTTGAGGCTGGTCACAATGGGCAAGAACATAAGCTAGTAACTTCACACTTTCCTAGACTATGTTACTACCTTCATAGTGGGTAGGAACATCTATGTAGTGTCATGCAACGATGTATTTATTAGGTTATAGACTCATTGTTTTTTGGAGTGTGTGATGTTCCGGTAACTTAGCTAGTTACCACAAGCACCTCTCTCTTCATTAAATACGTGTCACATAAGCAAAGTTGTAATGAAGTGTGTGATGTTACTCCTAAGTTCCTCCCCACTATGACCAGCCTGAGGTAATTGAAGAAGTTGTAGATCAAGTCAAGACCTATGAAACGCACCGTTTTTTTTTTTTTTGCATTCATGGTGTAGTTCAGTTGTTTCATCAACTTGTAATTACATACGTAATGTCGTATGACTCGTATCAGCTTTTAAGTAGTGTTTTCCTTTCTTTTCCCTAGAAGTTTTGGACTAGAGATAAAGTTGGAATCTTGACATGAAGTAGTTGAAGATATTATAGATCAGCGTTGCCTCTTTCAAATGCGTTTTTTTCCCGCATGTGAGATGTTGTTTAGTGTTTTGGTTAGGAATAATTAACTAATTATGTGTTGTTTAGGGACCGCTGTTTATTTGACTTGTTAAGGGTTAGAGACACTGTTATCTTGTATGTCATGTGTTGTAGTAATTTAAAGGAAATGTTAACGCCCACACGTGTGGGCGTTTGCATCTCGCCCACACGCGTGTATCCGTGTCCGTTCGTGAGCGCACGAATCTTAGCATATTTCTAGTGCCATGTAGGACTGGTCTGGTGTGTGGGCGTTCAGCCGATCGCCCACACGGCCGTTTCACCACACAGGAGGGGCTGGTGTGTGGGCGTTCAACAGTTCGTCCACACGCCACTTTGCACGCACACACAAGGGTTAGTGTGTGGGCATTTGTCATCTCGCCCACACGTCCGTCTCCTTTCCCACACCCAAGCTGCTAGTTGCCATGTGTTTTGCAGTGCACATGGCAACTGCCCCTAATGTCCTTTATAAGCAGGTGGCAACTCTCTTTTTTTACCCGAGTTTGCCATGTGTTTTGCAGGATACACGACAACTGCCTAGTGTGCACGTAAGCAGATGGCAACTCTCTTTTACCGAGTTGCCATATGTTTTTGCATGATACATGGCAACTGCTCTAACGTGCATGTACATGGCAACTGTCCTAACGTGCACATAAGCAGATGTCAACTCTTCCTTTTTACATGGCAACTGCCCTAGCATGCTTGTGAGCACATGGCAACTCTCTCAACTGCCTAGTGTTAGTATGTGGCAACTCCTAAAGTTATGAAATCATGGCAACTACATTAAATCAGACCATACATGGCAACTGCAGTTGAGCAACCATGTCAACTGCAGTTGTTCGACATGGCAACCGTAGTTCAGCGACATGGCAACTACAGTTAAACGAATATGGACGAGGGTCTGGACCATGGCAACTGCGGGCGCGCGGTGACCGTCACGCATGGCGTGCGGGACCAGGAGGTACGAGGCCTGACATACGGGCGTGTGAGCGTTATCAACTTCGCCCACACGCACGTGTGTGAGAGGGATCGGGAGGAGAAAAAAGAGGCATGTGGGCGCTGGTTGTTTTGCCCACACATAGGTGTGTGGGCTGTTCCTCTTATACACCACACAAAATGTGTGGGCGGACTCCCTAACGCCCACACATGTGGCACTTATCGGCGTCCTAATTTAATCATGGGAGTGTCTATTTGACGTTTGACTGAAATTCAATTGGACATCAGTCAAGTTTTTCAACCAATAATAAAACGACACTTGTATGTATTTGTGTGTCCCTTTTTTAG